TCTTACCGTTTCCCGAATAGCATGTACAATACTGTAATGCTTTTTTTTTTATACATACGAAGAGCAGGTTGTCTCAAAAACCAAACCATGCCACCAGCCCTGCATCTCGCAATACTACAGGGGTGATTGCTTCATCTCAAAACACGATTACCACATATGTATGTACTACAGTACATGGCATTTAACCACAATGGTTGTGTTATTTGGCATGACACCCCGAGTTATGCAATACATATTCGACAATGTTTATACTTTGCCACACGACACCACTTTTCTAGGCACACAAATGCAGCTCCTTCGTCTCAGGGTGCCATGCACCTTATTGACGAACCCTTAAACAACTTTAAATGATGGGTGTCGTCTTTAATTCTACTTAAGAGCCATACGTTGCGGAAGTGAAGTGTGTATTCCCCTTTTCATTGAGGTATACACTACAGTGGCTTTTAAGACCGGGCTATAAAAATTTCCCACCCACAAAGTGTGTGCTGTCTGGTGTAACGCGCATTGTGAGAACACGTGTTTACAGCTCAATGATGGGTGGTGGCGTCAGTAAGCTGTTTTGCATGCAAACCGGTTTGGCTTTCTGTGGCTACATTTGCAGTGAGTCACAGAAAGATAGTGAATGCCATTTTCTGCAGACAGGTCCCACCGAATGACTTTTTTTGTGTGTATTGGCCGGATGGACAAATCATTTACCCAGTGGCTAGACATAAATGTGGACTCAATCATTCTTTAAGTTCGTTGATTAGCCCCAATATATGCAGGCGGTTCTTACCATGAGCAAATCAAGTCAACTCAATACGTAGCGGAAATACCGCAGGTAAAAATTGTGCTAAAAGTATCCCCAGAAATTCACCCCTTCTGCGAACACCACGTGACTGCCCTACACCGGCAAAGCCATATGCAGCGTGTGTAACCATCACACTTTTCTCACTTCAGTGCTTGATGCAGGGCAGCAGGTAAATAAAGACATAGGACGCGCATAACTACGTAGGTAACTTCAACGGTAAATAATGTCGACAGAACTTATTCGTAAAAAAAAGCTAGATTCCTGCCAATAAAAGTGCCTGCAAATCGTGTGCACGTAGCACATCCAAACACTATGGGAACCTCATTTGCCAGTAAAAATATGATAATTGGGTTTTTACCCTTCTATCTGGCAACAAAACTGACACCTTTTTACAAGGAAGTCATGTTTGCATAGACCGCAATACCTGCAGTCATAATACAAACAAAAGAACATAACTCTGATAATGGGCGACCTGGGTTATGTTGATGTGATTTAAACATTCATGTATTACACTGCTTTACATGACGAGGCAGGCCCCAGGTTTCCAATGAAGTGCGAAATGAATTCAATGACCAACAATAAAGGTTCACTGATAACTAAACTGAGCTTTTAATTATGGTTCACGATTCACCTACAAACATTCAGGGTTCAGGGGCACATACGACTCCCGCTTTCTTCCCACCATCATTATTTAGAGTACTCGCACAATTACAGGCAATGCTTTCAGACATTTTTTCTAGAACGGCATGGCCTTCAGCCTATTATGGGTTTTTCTCCGTAAAACTCGTTCCTATATTTTCATGAAATAGGCATGACACTACCACATTCCAAACTACCAACAGATAAAAGCCTTACAATTAATTATAAACAAGTGTTTAACTTATAACCGTGTAGTGACAATAGTGATTACAAGGTGCACATTATAATGCACACATACAATGTACAATTACACATTGAAGTGATATTTTTTTTTAATTTGATGTGCATTCAACTACATTTCAAGCCCCTGGATAGGGGACAGGTTGAGGGATTACTCTTTGGTTCTTTCGGTAAAGTCACGGAAAAAGAGAAAATAATAAATTAAATAATAGCATACGACGTTTCGATTGCAACACAAGCAATCATCATCAGGTATAAATGAAATAGAAAACAAACCTAGTACACTTAGAAATATAATGCAATACAACACAGAGAGTCGGCTAACAATGATGATTGCTTGTGTTGCAATCGAAACGTCGTATGCTATTATTTAATTTATTATTTTCTCTTTATACGTGACTTTACCGAAAGAACCAAAGAGTAATTCCTGCAGTCACGAAAGCTCCAAATTAAGGTTGAGGGATGGTAATGCATGGGAGACTCCACACCCACAACCTGTAAACGAAACCATATCGTCCCAATAATCTAATCCGGGATCAATTTCAAGATCACTCACCACCATCAAGGTCATCCATGGATGTGTCCCTGAATACCTCTCTGCTGCCATCGTATTCTACTCCCCTCCACACGGTATCTTTGAGCAACAACGTATTATGTCGAACACCGGAGTCAACCGTCGCTCGGATGGGAGAGGTCACTCATTCTCCTCTGCTGCCACCAGGTCTGGAATACCTTAATTATTTAACTTTACCTATGACCGACTGCCTCTCTCAAAAGTAAAATATCATTGTCTGTACAGTGCCTTGAAATTTGGTCGAATTTAGATGCTGTACAAAACCAAATTGTTTTCTTATCGTACTGTGTGGCAGAGAAGGCGTGGGGGGTCATGCTGAGGTATGGCTTGAGGCCAACAAGCACTGGGCAGGAAGCAGACTGACCGGATTCAGAGCAAGAGGGTATGTGGACATAACAGAAACAGGTGGTGGCAATTGAGATCCAGGTGCCTATGTGGGTCCTCAGGGTAAGCTGAGGCCAGCAGAGGTTGAGGGAACACGAACCAGGAAGAGGGTTGAGGCCACAGTGGCCTATGGCCAATGAGGCACAGGAGCCAAAAGGCCGGTCGAGTCAAAATCCAATAATGTGCGATGAGCAGATACGAGGTGTTGGTGATGAGCAGCAGCAGCAACAGGGATGGGAAGTCGGGAAAGAGGTTAGCTGGAAGGTTTGGGGAAAGTGCTTCGTAGCGAGACAGGAGAGAGAACATGTATAAAACAAAAGCGATGGAAGGGATAAAATGGTATACTGGAGAAAATGTAGGGTTGGGCAGTGGCACCTTTCTCTCCAAATAAATTGTTTTTTTAAACATTCCATCAGCCACAAGCAAACTCTGGACCGGTTTTGACGATCAGTGTGTCTAATCAGTAGTCAGGCTTACTTTCACAAATGCTGCTGAATTACCAGAGTTGGATATGGATTCTAGTTTGATGTTAAACTCTATAATACATAACAGAAAATAATCATGAGTGCCAGTCTAGTTTGGTTTAAAATAGCAACTTCAAAGCTTCCTAAATGAAAAAAATATATACTTCAAAAAGTACTTAATGTACATCTTATGGATAATAAAGCATACTTAAAGCACACATTAGTAATAACCACGTGGTAGACAAGTGACTATAACTTAAAACATTACCAGAGAACAAATTATCCAAGTCACCTCGGGACAAACAGAAAGTTAATCAGTAAAAAAAAAATTCACCAATGAACAACTGATGAAACCACAACAAGGCAAGCTTAAATAGTAGAAAAACAGCAATGACCTTCCATTGACGAAAACAACTCAAATATGCAACTGACCATGATCTTGGTAAATGTGCACTTTAATTAATGAGCAATACAATCCATTTCAGTGAAAACAATCAGGTATATATTATAGCTCAACATGTCATTAAGTATACTACTTGTCACAGGAAAAGTAAGAAAAATATTACAAATATTAACCTCAATGTGCTCAGATTGGCTGTGATCTTTGAATTGACATATTGAATTGAATTAATTAAAATACAGTATCTGTACTGCATTTGTGACGTTATAGTTAAACATTGAGTGCTGGTGAATAAAACAACGATTGTGTATTTTACTTAACTAAATAAACACAGAAATGTACATTCAGTATTCTGCTTTTGAAAGGATCAAAGGTATTTAATTGTTTTGTAAACATGGAATCACATGTACAGCACTGGGATTGCCGTTGCCAGTACAAGAAAAGCATGAGCTGTATATTGCTGTTATTTGTGATTTTTTGTTATCTTCTTTGAACCTATCTACGTGACTTTACCAAAAGACCCAAATAATTTGTACATTGCTATTTAAAAACGATTTTGTAAATTCAACTGTGTGAGGAAACTGAAGTATTAGGTAGAATTATGTAAAGAACAATGCTTTCTTTGCTATCTTATGAAATGCATTTGGTAGTAGGGTTTTAATTTGCTTGGATGTGGCCGTATATGGGATTTGGTCCTTATATATAATTAATGTACACCATTATGGGATGCTCTTAGCATGAATGACGATATATAAAATGATAGTATTATCTCATCATACTATTAAAGATGTACACAAAATATACATTGCTAGATTGCCTGTGGCACAAACCCATGTGCAGTACTTAATTTCTTATAGGCATGGGACACATGCATTTTCATAACATTTGCTTGCACCTACTGATACAATGCTTTAATTATACGTCCAACAACATTCATATAACTGAGCTTACACACAACTTTTAGCATGACACATTACTGTGTTTTTCAAAAATATTCGCACGATCAAATCAATAAAGTATTCATTGGATCGAATGCATTCATGATAATAAGTTCACTCGGTGGCGGGGATAAATGAAAATAAGAAATAAAAAGTCAAGCAAAAAACTGCCAAGTACAATTTTCTTCATATGTACTCATTAAAAAAAATACTTGTCGGTGCTTTGAAAATCTATTAAATATAGCACAGGTTGTTTGGCTCTCAAGATTGTGGACTGAAGCTGAAATGACGGATAAAGTACTACATGAGTTAAACACCTAATTCACGCACAAGATAGAACCTCGCGTACAAGGCAAACATTAAATTACGATGGGGACCTTTTTTGCCAGTATCAAAGTGATGAAATAACAATAGGCTTTACCCTTTCTGGCAATTACTATAAATTCACCTCAAAAACCAAACAACTAAAAGCACTATAACTAAAAATACTAATTTGTCATAGTATAGGACCAAGTCAATTAGCATTTAGCAAAGATAAATAGTTGCAAAACAATGAATATTACTCGTCATCTCACTGTTAATAGTGCCTTTATTGAAAATGAGTTGAGACAAATCTTGATTACCGAGTTTAGACAGAATTGTATTACATAAAGCACAGTACTGTATATTAAAATCCCCAGCAGAAGCTGGTTCAAGCTGTTCCACGAGAAAATGCACGTGATAAAAAAACACCAACACGTTCACCACAATTGGCACTTATCTTTCACAAGAGGCAATGCTTAGGTTAAAACTCGAGCAATAGGTGTAGCAATGTGACAATGGATAAAATCCACACCTTAGCAAACAATTAGACTATACTTTTGATGTGTAACATACATAATTAAAACATTTACTAGCAGTGTTTATACTACATAGGACGCATGATGCTAATTCTACAGATTTCTGATGTTAACATGCAATCGTCTATAGCTCTATGTTCAAGGGTTATATCTGACCTATTTTATAAATGAGCATACAACTTGGTCAAATATATGAGCCAGCTGTCGCTCCAACGATCCATACAATATGTTGTACACTGTAAGCTTGTACAACATACCCCATATTTCAAAGGAATGTACAATTACAGCAGGCTAAATATATAGTTTTTTCTGTCGCTTCTATTATCACTTTCAAGGCCACTGTTATGTACAAATATTTATTTTAAAATACTAAAAAATATATATACAAACTGGCAAGAATAAAAATCTATTTCAAGAATAAAAAAAAAAACTAAAATGAATAAATAACTGTTTCTATTCAAATGCAGTCATGTCTAGCTCTGGGTAAAATTGCAGAATTTGTAACTGGTAAATTTGGTTTTAGAAGACAAGGGAAAATAGCTTCTTTATCAGGTTTGTTTATGTTTTTTAGATCCACATTTTCTTACCTACATTGCATTACATCCACATTTAACACTGTAACAATATAGCAGCACTGCACAAAAAAGAGCCTGTCCATACAACCGGATAACCTTACACATTATTATCAGCCTGATATAGCTGGCACTGAGAGTTGTGCAAATCAATTTAACACATTAGCACAAAACTAGTTAAATCTTAGCAAATAGTCAATTCAGTTGTGCTTCGGCAAAGAGGGAGTTCCTTTTGACAAATGCGGGACAATGCAATTATGCATTGCAATGACCGCTTGATTCCTCTCCAGGTGTTATATTACCTTAATGTGACACCTGTGAAGAGTTGTTTTCTAAACATGAGTAATTGATACATATTTACACTTTTGATCACAATGCATGTTAATATGTCAATGTTAAAAATCGATAAATGTTACAATTAAGTGACAATCGTTACAAGAAAAAACCTTGCTACAAGTAGTCACATACAGTAGTTATAAATAAAAGAACATTAAATTGTGTCAACCATTCAACACATTTGATATTTTTAAAACAATATTGCCAAAGTCCATACAAAAGCAAAAGTAAAAAACAAATGATGAATAGAAAAATAGCACTAAGATATGCAATATTGAAACTATTACAGCTACTACGTGTAAGCCTTTGTACTTGTATGGGTATATTTAAGTAAAAATATATAGTCTTAGAGATTCTCACTGATTTTTGCAAACTAATTAATCTGGACTGCAACAGTACAAAAACCCAACATGTTTTTTGGTCCTGGCTAACCAGCCTCAAAGTCACCACACGTTAACACAGCACAACCACTCCACATTCGTCTGTTCTTATGGAATAAAATAAAAAATAAATAAAACCCTCACTTTTCACCACCGCGACCCTTAAAAAGCAGGCCAAATTGCGTGACGCTGGCTCACGCACTGACGCATCAGGTCGTGCTGTCCTCCAAACTCGGGGAGCTGAAGGCGGCCCCGCGAAGGATGTCCATGGTGTGTATGAGGAGGAGGGTGCCGGTGAGGTGGCGCCACTGCTTGGTGATGGGGTTCCTCATCTTCTCCAGTGCGGCATGCAGCTCCTGCACCACGTCCCTGTAGCTGTCGCCCAGCCTCGCGCTCCACGTCAGCAGGAACGCGTACGCTGGCTTCCACATGGTCTAATCACCGAGACAGATGCACGAGATTAACACACACACACACACTGGTTAGCGCCAATATAAATGCTAGAATACACGTCTATCAAAAATTAAAGAGGTTCCTGGAGAGCGGAACAAGTACAGTGTCTTATGAATTCACCAGAGATTGTCAGCTTGCCACATTACTCACATATTCAGATGTGTTATTTTGTACATTTCAAGGTAGAGCTGTTAACACTATAAGAGAAAATAGGCGTGTAGTGATTTTGTGCATCATATTGCAGTAATACATGGAGAATTCATTTCTTTAAACCTACTTTTTGTGTTTAGTTTGTTGTCCTTCCCCTGCACCTCCTATCAGCACGGTTGACTTCGTACGGTGCGAAAGAAGTTCAACATACATACGATTAATGTGCCGTGGGCAAGCACACTTGCCTCATCGTCAATATCTCCATTCTTGTCACGGTGAGGGACCTCAAAGGCATCCATCTGCTGCCGCGTCGCCTTGGAGAGCTTTTCAGCGAGCTCCCTCCAACGGGTCCCGGCCTCGACCGCTGTGGTGAGCAGCACAAAGTCCTGCAGGAGGCGTGCCACTAGACCCTGGCAGTCGATCTTCAGCAGGGCCTGATATGTCAACACATGCACACAAAACATTGAGTTAGCAGAGGATGGCGTTTGCGCTAATTCTCCCAGTCATGCGAAACATTCATCTCGTTAAAGATCATTACCGATTTTAAATCACTCCAGCATGGATGTCATGGAGATTACAGTAAAAATTTGGAAAATGTTCTTTGGCAAGGCATTCCACATGATTTAGCCTTTAATATGGAAGGTACCCGGAGTGTTTTGGCAGTAAGCGTTATTAATGTTTTAACTTTAATTGCAATTTTTTGAAGCATTAACATTTGTAAACCCACATATTATTAATTTAAAGTTGTAGTATGACATTGTATGTAGTCTTACTATTTACTACTGTTTTAAAGTGAATAACGTACCTATCATTTACATTACAGGTTTAACCTAAGGAAAACTTTAGTTCATTTTGTTAACAATATACATAAACCACTGATGGTGCTCATAGAAAAAATATTGAATCTTTCTACTAGAAAAACTGACTTTGCAAAGAAGTGATTAATATTAATGTATACACGTTTCATTGGTTCAGGAGCACGTTCAACTATTTCAATAAGTAGATGGTAATAGTGTGTGGTTACACAGGTTGAATTATGTTCCTCAACTTAATAACAATGCAGCATGTCACAATGCACAAAAGGAAAATAATCCCATCATTCTAGATGACATATAATAGGGAACGTGAAAGAGAAACAACACATTTTCTCTGAATGAACACAGCAAAACATTATTTTGACCAAAAAGGGCTATAAGTAAAAAAGGGAAGTCATAAAGCTGGCACAAGACCTGGAACAAGTGGAGAGATCTGATTCAGCCCCAATGTCTCTTAGGGAAGAGAGGTGGGAACTAAATACAATTATTGCAAACATTCCGAAACATTTAGCCGGGAGATTTAACTTACCGTGAATAGCTCCTTCTGGAAAGACTTCTTTTTCTTGGACTGTAAGGTGCAGTTACAGTCCTCTTGAGTTTCTCGAGCACACACGCCACCTTCTCCGCTTCATTATCCACTTCCACCCGACAGAACTCGCTCAGTGGTACACCAGCATATCCCAAGGAATCTGCGAATGTTCTCCAGCTCCCAATGTTCTCCATTAGCTGGGTACGCACCGAGGAGTACACGTAGGTCAGGAATTTGCACGGCTGAAGCATCTGTTCGAGCAGCACTGCTGTGGTAAGCTTCGGCCCAGGTGCGAGCCCAGAGCGGTCTTTGTCAAGCTGTAGCACGTTCCGGCAGTGGACGAGACCCAGCTTGCCATCGTAGAAACCCACAAACCAGTCTTTGTTGCGAATCTGCCCACGCACGCGCACCCTTTCCTCACTCAGCAACACCATCATGTCCCCCTTCTTGTACTCGAGCAGATACGGATGTTTTTGCTGCCGGGTCACGGTCTTGGTGGCTATGGCGTACTTTAGGTTTGGCACTAGTCTATCCTGGAATGTTGGGTATTTGGCGGTGATGGCAGTCGGGGACAGCACGATTTTTCCCACTTCTTTCTTCTTCAGGAACCTCCTCTGGCCCGTTTTTATTGCCGGTTTTGGTGCCACTTGAGGTGTTTGTATGCAAAACTGAGACAAGAGTGTATCTTTGTCATCCTTAAATTGGACACATAGGGTGAACTCTTGCATGTCTTCCTCATTTATAACATTGACAGAGAATGGAATACGGCTCACCATACCCAGCTTCATCTGGAAGCCTCGAACCAAACTGTTCTGGCCAGATCGCTTGACTTCAAAGTTGGCATCATTTGAGAAGAGGCAAAAGCTTACATCTTGAGGTTTCTCTACGGGAAATTTATACTTGCCCCAGAGCTGCAACGCCAACGGAAGGCCAGTGATTTTCCCTTTGGTGATTTCATTCAGCGTGAGAGATTTTGGTGCACTATTGTGACCAAACATGGCCACAACAGTAGTGAATGAAGGGTGAATGTGCCGTGGGCCATACACACCAACAGTAAGATGTTTGGTTATACAGTCCCAAATTGTGGATGGATGTTTCAGACTTGAGGCTTGAGCTACAGCCACAACATAGGTGCATGGTCCCAGGTCTTCCAACTGGACTTGAATGGTGTTGCCATACGTGTAAGTAGTTGGGATATTTATGTAAGAGCTATCTTTGAGTGAACTCCTCATGCAAACTATTTTGGCAGCTTTGTCTTTTATTTCTGTATCGACACTCATCTCTAGCGTAAAGAATTTATGCACGTCCAGATTATTGAGGCGTATTTCGATGAGCGGACTGACCGTGGTACATCTGTCACTATTCAGCTCCAAGGGTGGCTCAAGCAATGCTTTCACAGAGACCTCTTGGTCTTCTCCAGCATCTACGTGGCCTTCGGGGATGTGAATAACAATGTCTGTGTCTGGCAATTGAACGACTCCCCCAGAGCTGTCCAGCCTACAAATCATGTGTGTCTCTACGGGCTGTGTCTGTCCCCACCCGGGACTTTGCTCGAGGGCACCCAAATCATGGCACGAACGTGCCAGCTTCCGTCGGTTTAACCAAGCGGTTCTGAATGCATCTCTGTCATTTTTAAAGCTCTCAATGTCCATCGATTTAAAAGTAGACGTGAAATTCATCTGGCTAGTTTTACTTGGTTGTGCCTGCTCCTGCAACACTGACAGTTCAGACATACTGTAGCAACGATTTTTGCTGCTTGTGAATGGGTTGCCTCGAGTAACTGGACGCTCAAAGAAGTCCAGATCTAAGTCTGTTGCAGATTTATTGGTGTGTTTTATACTGCTGCTGGGTTTTAGAGCATCGAACATAAACCATTCAGTTGACGATATTGGTTTTTGCACTTCATCAGCGCCAGTAGACATCAGAGATATATCGTTAAGGAAGGGATTAGAAGCAGATAGGTTTGGCCGAAAAGGATTGCCATTAACAGCGACCAAATTAGTCTGCTTGCCAATGATTTCTGGCCAACCGCTGAGCAAATCCATTTCCTGCTTGTAGCCATTACTCTCAGGAATGTGATCCACCATGCCACTATCACTGTAGGTGCTGGTCAACGAGCCAACAGGTCGCACATAGGAGGCTGGTATGTAACCCATCTCCTTGTTGTTGTGAGCGTACCACCATTCAGACCGAGAGTTGTCCATCACGTAGAGTCTTTCGCCTTTGGAGAACTTCAATGTGGTGAAGCTATTGGGACAGTAGTCCTTGATGGCCACGACCTCGTGGGCGTTTTCCATCGTAAGGGAGCCCTTGTCAAGCAAGCCATTTGGAGAAGGCACTACAAAGAGAGATTACAAAACAATTCACTTGCAGATAGTTACCAACGTGAAATTAATTCAGCACAGCAAATGGCAACTGCGGTATTGTTATTTTATAACAGTGCTAGTACACAATTAAAAGCTAGATCTAAACTGTAGCCAATGTTATTAGAAATATAATACGAGATGACAAAGTGTGCTATGAACCAATTTTAGCACGCATATGTACCAATGTAAACAACTTTGATACACATGGGATTCTACGTTTTACTTATTTTAAAGTGAACAATTTTAACAAAAAAACACAAATGGCGAATTATCTAACGTAGGATGATGTGTATACTGATGTATACTGTGTACACTCGAATATTTACAATATGAAAAATATGATGCAAAGATCAGTTTTCATGATATACTCAATCAAATAAATAACATGAAAATCAAATGATAACACCGTACTGCTTTGCGGTGAGAAAATACATTCAGCTTTCTTAAGAATGTTATTATACACATAAAAGTGAACTTTCAATGAAGCCACTTTCCTCTATTCTCAAACACATTTTTTGGCTCTGAGCAGCGGTTGTGCTTATTATCACATTTGACACCTTGGCACAAGAGAAGTGAAGAATTCATGAGCGCACGACAGCACAGCTAAAATGGAATGTGAAAAGGGTGTGTAAAAATTTTACCCACCATCTAAATCATGGAAATTTGGCTCCGATGGTTGATCTTCCAGGTCAATTAGAGTCCCCTCTGACTTGCACCTGGGCAAGCCTCCACCAGTTGCAGCACGGATTCTGTTGGCTGCCATTATGTCAGCACCAGGATCTCATGTCACTGTGGGAGAAAAGTCCGCAAATGTAATCCAGTCCTCGACACTCAAGAGAAACCTAATGTGGCATTTTGCATTAAATTAGTGTTCACTTATCTATCTTCATGTGATCTTGGTTTTTATCTAGTATGTATGCGCAATTAAATTTGCATCAAAGGAATTATAAAACATCAAGGTGGAATCGGCCCCCTCCACTGCAATGCATTTAGAAGCTGCAATAAAACTGCAAGGGATGATTGACCTGAGGCCTTCTTTGATTTTACCCTCGATCAATGATTTCGGTGAGTCTGCTTTACCTTAAAGATGTACATAGGTCGGCATCAAAATCACAGGTCCTTCTGATCAGAATGAGTAATTAATTAACTCCGCATGACAAAGAATACTCAAGTGTTGTGACTCAGACTGCAGATAGTTACTGTATTCTGGTAGGTGGTGTTTTACATGTAAATGAGAACAACAAAAGCATTGCATTTTGATTTAGGGTCTTTCTGCATTTCGTTTTGGAATTAAAAGTAAAAATTTACCGTAGCTTTCTTTATAGAAGCATGGGTGTTTTGATTGAATAAAATACACATTTTCCTTTGCACAAAATATAATAACTCTATAGGGCGCACATCGTTAAATAATAACATAAATACAATACATAAAAACTAGAAATTTATTTAAAAACACGAGCCTGTTGCCCATCCGAGGACGGGTGTATTGCAGTAAATTTGAAACTTGCAAGCGAAAAGCAGACCGCGACGTGATATTCATTGCATCAATTCGTGTGCAATTTGTAAGGCCGCGGTGACACAGACATATTTCATCATGACGTCCTTGTTACTTCTATGTCTCAATAGCGTTAAGGAGATAGCGTGACGTGAGGGTTCTGCCTTTGTAGTGTGGGTTGTAAGTTGACGCCGAGGAGGGGGGAGGAGGCGCCTCGCCCCCCCCCCCCCATGTGGAGTGACGTCACCCGCTAATTATTATTAATGATGGGGGGTGTCCATTTGGAGGACGTCACCTCTTCATAAATATTAATGAGGGGGGCTATTCGATATGGAGTGTAATCACGCACGGGACACACAGACATTCTTGGCTCATTATAGTAGTAAATTGGAAAAGGTTTGATATATGGTCTTGTTGTATAATCCACCAAGAGTATTCAGTAAATCATGGGCTTCATAAAATAGTTTAGAATGCTCAAAAGCTTACTTCTTTGCACGAAAAAGACAGCATGAGTGTGGAAAGAAGAGCAGTGGAAAGACACGTCATCACCTTTGCTGATAAACAGTAGATATTCACTTGTCCCGGTTTACTCAACAATTCCTTTAGGGCACTTGCCATAACAGCCCATCAAAACACCTCAGCCATAAAACTAAACTGTTTCAATCCAAAAGGCCGACTTACGTGCCAAGTATTTCAAGTACAAGCATTATCTGCTTCAAAATGAGCAGCGCATGTACTGCACCATAGTGACTTATCTGAGAAATGTAGTCAACATTCTCTCGCAAATATGAGTACGTGGCAGAACAGCCACAATACATCGTACTGTATAGTACTCTATGGTATCGGATGTGTGTGCAATATGTAGGTGCCAGGTTTAATTATTGAGCCAGATTAAGCTTCTGTGGATTGGTTTTTTTTAATCTACACGTGTCTCCATTCACCAGCACTTAGATATTGTTCTACAACTACAGTATGTACCAATACTGATACGTGAACACATCCCTTGTTGCATTAACCTTTGAAAAATCACTGCTATATTAAGGCCTTCACTAAACCATACAGATAATGGGAGTTGTTTGACCATACTTTACCCCACTGGTTTGTGCGGGTTGGGCACCAAACTCGGTTCAGACATCATTCGCCAACTGATGTTTGTCTTTGCCGGGCCAGGAACCGAACTCAGGTATCCAGGTGTATGGGGCAGTACAGTACAGTACTTACTGAACTTCTACAGAGATTGTTTTCCATCGTAGGTACATTGGTAACGAATGGCTCAAGGCCACCAAAGCAGATAAGCACGTGAAATAGATTTTTTTAAAGTGTATGTATACAAGCACAGGTACACACAGAACAAGGCTGGAGCGATGACACAGTGGGGTCAACACTATGAATCCGACCATTTGCGTTGAATTCCCGGCCATGACTAACTGTTTTTGAACCGGGCCTGGATCCCCACTTCACCAGCCCGTACTGACTAGCGTGGTGAAGTATGGTCAAACAATCCCCCTGACCAACACGGCTTTGGAAGGCCTTCATCCAGCAGTGAATTGACAAATAGCTGTGAATGATACTGTAATTATGATTACACGCAGTATATGCTTACATACTTGGGTCTGTACAACATCAGACCACCAAAGCAAGCGTGCCTCTGCAAAAATGTATCCAGCCTGATTGCTAAAGAAGTCCAAGAATGTCAACACCGTTTCACAAATTGCATATTAAAACAGATGCTGTCAGATGTAGGTCTGAAAAGTTAATAGACTGACGGTATTAAAAATAATGTTATGTGAAGATACCGAACGGATTCAAAGGAGCAAAGGGCCACACGAACTCTAAACATTAAATGCCACCAAGCGCAACGGTGTCTCATTATGCATAAGTTAGAGGTCACACGCGGGCACGAGATCCGGACAGGTCCAGGTCCAACACAGCGGGGATAAAGACAAACATCCCCTCTGTTCAGCCGTACAAACCCCAAGGGGGTTACTGTTGGCGAGCACCTATTGAAGTCCCGTGGATAAACACCCCCCAATAGATGCATACATACTGTTGAGGGGGGTGCATGTTGTTAGCACTTAGACCGCAACAGTGCACGAGCGGGTGGTTGTGGCCAGAAACGCCCAGTCCCGGCATTTACACACCGCTTCAGATACAGCACTCATTTAAGGCCGAGTAAACCTAAGGGTGGCGAACAGGACTGGTTCAGGATAATCGTCACTTGTGTCCGCGATGGTCGCATATAGAACTCGGGTCGCCGGGATTGTTAGGGTATTGTTGCGCTAAGAACTACGCTACTACACAAAGGAGTTGCTTCCATGAAACAACTAAAAACGCCACCCCAGTCCTTGACTGGAATGGTGCCACGAAGTGAGCTCAATCAATGTTCGGCAACACAGGCGCGGGCTAAAATCATTCAAATTATAATTTACTGGAGACGTTTACTCCGGATACACATGACCAATTACTTCGAAGCGTGCAATTTTGATAGCAATTACAAACGTAATTGAATTGCCTATTTTAATAACAGGTACTTCGTTTGGATCGTGACCACATTTCTGGAAAACGCACATGTTTCTTGGCGGCTGGTTGGACAAATGCATTTTGTTGTACGTCCTTTCGCACCGTACGTAGCCAACCGTGCTAATCGGAGTTAAAGACTCTAAACAAAAGCGAAGTGAGCTACATCTGGACCACCAGCCTCAAACAGCCCCAATAACCGCTAATCTGATCAACAACAGGTCACAGGGACAACAGCAGGGAACCATAATTGCTCACTCCCTAACAATAGTCCCACGCATTTGTGTAAGCCAACAACACTATAATGCTGGATGCGGAAAAGGCTGAAGCTGGTCTCGTCGCTGGGATTAGTCGGCATATACATCGTCGTGAAATGTTAAAACTGCAGTATTTCTATTGCTACCAGGTCAGGCCCACTGATCTGTGTAGCTCTTTTTCAGAAGCGACCTCTCAACGAATGATAGCCCGACGAAGCTGCCTATTTTGTAGATATTTATAGCAGCCAAACACTCTCAACGCGTGTTTATCTAAATGTGAAGGGAAAACCAGGAGAACAATCCACGCGACCACGGGGAGAGACACGCAAACTCCAAATATACAGCGGCAGGCGTCAGGGTCGGGATCGAACTCACGACCTCCTGTACACCAGGCGAGGTGGTGAACATCTCCTAGCCACCGTGCTGATGATGAGGGAGATACGCAAACTCCAAATATACAGCAGGCGTCAGGGTCGGGATCGAACCAACGACCTCCTGCATACCACGCGAGGTAGTTAACATCTCCTAGCCACCGTGATGATGATGATGAGACACCGCAAACTCCAAATATACAGCGGCAGGCGTCAGGGTCGGGATCGAACCCACGACCCCCTGTCACCAGGCGAGGTAGTTAACATCTCCTAGCCACCGTGATGATGATGAGAGAGACACGTAAACTCCAAATACACAGCATGCACCAAGGTCGGGATCGAACCCCACGACCTCCTGCATACCAGGCGAGGTAGTTAACATCTCCTAGCCACCGTGATGATGATGAGACACCGCAAACTCAAAATATACAGCAGGCGTCAGGGTCTGGATCGAACCCACGACCTCCTGCATACCAGGCGAGGTAGTTAACATCTCCTAGCCACCGTGATGATGATGAGAGAGACACGTAAACTCCAAATATACAGCAGGCACCAAGGTCGGGATCGAACCCCACGACCTCCTGTGTACCAGGCGAGGTAGTTAACATCTCCTAGCCACCGTGATGATGATGAGAGAGACACGTAAACTCAAAATATACAGCAGGCACCTTGGTCGGGATCGAACCCCACGACGTCTTGCATACCAGGCCAGGTAGTTAACATTTCCTAGCCACCGTGATGATGACGAGAGAGACACGTAAACTCCAAATACACAGCATGCACCAGGGTCGGGATCATACCCCACGACCTCCTACATACCAGGCGAGGTAGTTAACATCTCCTAGCCACCATGATGATGATGAGAGACACGTAAACTCAAAATACACAGCATGCACCAGGGTCGGGATCGTACCCCACGACCTCCTGCATACCAGGCGAGGTAGTTAACATCTCCTAGCCACCGTGATGATGATGAGACACCGCAAACTCCAAATATACAGCGGCAGGCGTCAGGGTCGGGATCGAACCCACGACCTCCTGCACACCAGGCGAGGTAGTTAACATCTCCTAGCCACCGTGATGATGAGAGAGAGACGCAAACTCCAAATATACAGCAGGCGTCAGGGTCTAGATCGAACCCACGACCTCCTGCACACCAGGCGAGGTAGTTAACATCTCCGAGCCACCGTGGCACCCTTGCTGCCAATGACCCCAAACAACAAGTGGGTGACCCCCCTCCACATCTCCCTGGTGTGGCACCGTTAAAGCCATAAAGAAATCACCTCAAACCACACAATGATCATTCGCGTCGTCGTGCCAAATATTAACGCAACATATAAGCAGACAATAGGCCACCCTCGCATATCTTCATGCCCTTCCACGTGTAAACAAATATTCACATTACTAAACAACATGCTCGATGCCTACGAGCCCGCCCGCCCTGAGCGCCCCTCACAAGCCCCAAGACAATCACGGCGCTCACCAAAACAGCCACTCACTGGTTGTTGTCCACGGTGATGATGCCCCTGGGATTACAGTGCGCACCTAATGAGAAGTGGAGAAATGCTGATGATGCTGCTGCTGATGATGGTGTTGGTGATGGTTAGTGGCGAGGCACGCACGCACCTGAGCCGGCCACCCACGGACACACGCGGCTCCACGCTCACTCCGGCAGGGCTTCAACGCAACACACGCGGTGTTTGGTGGGGTGGGTGGATGGGCGGAGAAGACTCCTCGAGATGATGTCCGTGTTCAAACAAAAAACAACACACAAATCGGTGATGGATCACTGCTGCGTAAGAGAAGCGTGCGAGAGAGACGCGAGAGCGAATGCGGGAGACGGAGCGACTCCACCGACACCACCACGAACAGCAGCAACAGGCGGCTCGCTCCGCGCGTGACGTCACGCGCGTCTGACCACGCCCCTCCCCCTCCCCTCCCCCACCCCACCTTCACGCGCCCCCGCCCCTCCCCTCCCAGACACCTTCACCCCCCCCTCCCTCACTCCCCCTCCGCTCCCCACCAACTCTCGGTAACCCCGCCCACCGCGCCGTTCGGGATTGGCTGTTTGACTCGCAGCCACACAGGGCCACGCCTACTTTCCTATGCTGACTCCGCCCACACACCAACCCAAGCCAACTACCCCCACCCACTTAATTGAGCCAACGCTCCTCAACTTGAAGCCCTCTAAACTCCGATTTAAAGCTTTCGTGACTGCAGGGATTCATCTTCTTGGTTCTTTCGGTAAAGTCACGTAGAAGGGAAGTAATAAAATAATAAAAATAAAACATAATAAAATAAAGAATTAAAGAATTATTTAATAAAGAATTAAAGAATTATTTTATTATGTTTTATTTTTATTATTTTATTACTTCCCTTCTACGTGACTTTACCGAAAGAACCAAGAAGATGAATCCCTCTAAACTCATTATTTGGTGGTAACTGCGTTTGGCGGTGTCGCACAAATAACACAAACTACAACACGTTCGATAATTGTTTTTTTACCCTTCTATCTGCCAACAAAACTGACACCTTTTTTACACAGGAGCCATGTTTACATAGACCACAATACCTGCAGTCATAATGCAAACAAAAAACTCTAATAATAACTCTGATAATGTATGCACTGTCCTTGAAGTTGATTGGTCCACACCCGAGACAGCTTTCCTTAGAGCCTAGTCTCACATGGGTTGGACCAGATGACGCCAAAAGGCGCACTATGCAAACATGACTCCTTGTAAAAAAAAGGTGTCAGTTTTGTTGCCAGATAGAAGGATAAAAAAACTATTATCATATTTTTTACTGGCAAATGAGGTTCCAATGGTACAACACGTTCGTCAATAACACTGGCTTTAAAATGTCATTTTATAGACGACGTTCCGGGTAATGGGCCTTCTTAATAGCAGAATTGCCCTTATTTGGCTGCTATACATTTCCACATGAAAAGCCGCTTCAATAAGATTTCATTTGTGGTCAGGTCGCTTCTGGAAAAGAGATATATAGCTCAGTGGGCCTTACCTGGTAAAATAAATGGTTTCGTTTAATCCATTTCCTTGGTCATTGTAATGAACCTAACGATTAATCTGTTACAAAACAAATCCCTCATTTGTAAGATATTTAGAATTACATTAACATTTGCTCGCTACATCCTGAATACTCGACACAATATACGCGTCGTATGTTTAATTTGTTTGCGAAAAGGATGCATTTTTTGTTGCACATATCTAACCTTCCTGTCGATTGTCCGAATAACTTTAATCGGAGTAGACGGAATGTATTCGCAAAGAAACGTGACTTGGAAACCCAGTAACATATGCTTGTGAAACGGTGTCTTTGTGATTTACTTTCTTGTTAACCCCCCCCCCCCTTCACGATTCAGTTGAATTGTGAGTTCAGGTTCACCATTCCTTTCAAAATAATATTTTTGGTCTTCGTGCATGTCGAATCTACAAGATTCCCATACACCAATCACATACTTTATACTACATATAACACATACTACACATTCGTCAATGAAACTGCCTTAAAATAAAAAATATATCTACAGTGATAAGCGACGTTTTGGACAATAGCCCTTCTTCTTAGCATATGCTATGAACGAATGTTTAGGGTTGTTTTACTGTAGTACTAAATGTTTTTTTTTTATCGACATGCCTAGAAGCTACACCGACACTCACATAATTCTGACCCATAATATACACCCTTTTACTCATCCTGTCCTTTGCCCTTCTACTCATTCACTCACCCTGTCCTCTGTCTACCTAATATGTGATCATTTCAACTCTCTCGGATCATCCACGTATGCGATATGCTTATCCGCCTTCCACTCATCGCTTCTTCTGCTACCCCACCACTCACCCTGTGGCTCACTCATCTGCATGATGCCCCCCCCCCCACTCTAGAAACCCAGCCAAGGTCCTCTATGGACAACTAAAAAAACCTGGAGTGGAATAGCAGTGAGGGAAACGGGGGTTCTAAGAGGGCTTGCATCGGGTCACCTTTAAATTTACTTTAGTACAGTCGTGTTTGTGTCCTTGTTGAAACGGAAAGAATATACTGGAGTAAAATTACATCGCGTAAGAAAGTGCGTGATGTTTTTTATGTATGCCAAACACATCAAACGTTTGATAAGCAAAATGTTACGTAAATAGATGCGTCAATGAGCTTCAAACGTTGTGCTCACTACAGTATATAGATATTCAATGTCTTGCTGGGGGCATTATGTATATAATCTCACCTTGTATTGCTTTATACATCTTGTATAAGGCGACCTCTGCCAGTTTGCCTTTAGGGCATGACTGCCAAATCCTGTAACTTAAATCATGAGGGTCTTGTTTAAACATGTAGCATTCTTTTCAAATCACAAGTGATACTTTACCAGAAAGTGTTGAACGTTGACTGAGCATCTTGCCGCCTTGTGTTGTACATTATGGTAACCTTTTGAATGGTTTGGATTAATCAGGTTACAGACATACTTGGAATGTTAATAAGCGTCACCTTGCACTGATTTACAAGACAAATTTGTATGTACGTACTACAGAACTGTCTAAACTAACTAACTTTCACCTCTCTAACTAGCTTTCACCTAACTATATGTTACTTTATAAAATTGGCCTTTAGCTACATAATCTTAGCAAATAATATCAGACATAGGGCAGTGGGGTTGTACAATGTTGGGTTGTGGCATTGTGATTAAAAGGTTGGTCTTATGAGGACAGACCGAGTGTTATGAGAAGTTATTTTACGTTTTAAAGGCTTGGGGAGACCTCTCAAGATTTTAAGGTGGGTAATGCGTCATTTTGACCAGTGCATGGCGTGAGATTTAGTGTCGCCAGCGGTCAGATAAAAGAGAGAGGTGCTTATACTGGTAGGAACTTCCTGGTTACATCAGCCCACAGGGGATTATTGTGTCCGTCCGTCCGTCGTGAATCCAAAAATGGGAGGGGTGGGGCTGGGTGGAGAGGGGAGGGTGGGGAGGGGCTGGGTGGGGAGGGGAGGGTGGGGAAGGGCTGGGTGGGGAGGGGCTGGGTGGGGAGGATGGGGCTGGGTGGGGGGGTAGGAGGGGTGGGGCTGGGTGGGGAGGGGAGGGTGGGAATGGGCTGAGTGGGGAGGGTGGAGAGGGGCTGGGTGAGGAGGGGAGGGTGGGGAGGGGCTGGGTGGGGAGGATGGGGCTGGGTGGGGGGGTAGGAGGGGTGGGGCTGGGTGGGGAGGGGCTGGTCACCCCGTGGTGCCCTTATAAAACTCAACGTTTAACCTGCTCACGCCGGCTTGTGCCCGCCCTCACAGCCGGACATATTTGCGGAATACACCACGCCGCCGTTGACCCTGGCCATTGACCGAGCAACCCAACATTGCCACCAGCTCCCTCCGCAGGAGGATTGTGTTTACTGGCTGTAAGTGTGAGCAGCCTTGGAGGGAATTTAGGTGGTAGCTGGGGAGAAATTTTAATCATTTGTTTTATTCTATTATAGTTCAACCAGCCTTGAAGTCACTTGATGTCTATTGACAAACATTTTGTGTTCGCAGTAGTAGGCAGTCAAAAGTCAAAGTTATTACCTGCTCAAATGATCTCATCTCCCGTTCATAGCCCTGAGCAAGTGGTGAAACAATCACATGTATGATACGGGAGTCTGTCCACAGGGCAAACCACTGTTGACTTTCTCTACCAAGTGGTACTCAATCATTATTGTGTCGGAGAGTGGGATGATGGGCTGATAACCCCCGTCCAGCATTTCAACTCGCAACCTCGTTTCGAATTTGAGCCGCTTTACTCTACCGCTGAGCCACCACATGGCCGATTGATATCTGAGCGTAAGCACATACAAAACAACCTTAATATATAAAAAAAATACATAAAGTTCGCGACGTTTCGGACATTGTCCTTTCAAAACAGACGGGACATTGCGGTTTTTTTTAATTTGTGCTCGTACTATTTTTTTTAATATATTTACTATTATATATTTATATAAATAAATGGTATCTCTCCTTGTTTTACACACATGACATTGCACGCCTCCCGAGCAAGAATGTGGAGGAGGATGTTGGAGGAGGACACGTGGTGGGGCGGGGCTGTAGGCAGGGGGGGGGGGGTGCGTCACGTGCTTCGCTTCCGTTGCCATGACCACTCGAGGACGCCCGCGCGCGCGCGCGATGACGTCACGGATCCACGTCACCGGTTTTCGAGGCGGCAGTGACAGCAGCAGCAGCGATGGCGGCGCTAACGCGGCTTCGCGTGAACGCGGCCCTCATGCGCTTCGGCGCCATCGTTCTCACGCGCTTCCCCTTCTGGAACTGCTTCAGCATGCTCATGCTGTTCGCCGAGCGCGCCGACAGCAAGAGGTATATATACGCGGGCGGTGCTCCCGAGACGAGAGCCCCCACCCCTACCCAAAACCCCGTGAACGCCGCGCGCCGCCCCATGTTGAATAGCGTCATTTGCTCGATACAGCCGTCGTGGCCGTGACGGGTCCACCTGAAGACGGAAGCTTGTGTTGCCTCCGAAACGTCGTGATTTTTTATTTTATTTTACTTTCATCAATTTTTATGTTTTACCTACACGTGACTTTACCGGAAAAAAACCTAGGAATATGAATCCTTGCAGTCACGAAAGCTTCAAATCTAGAAGCTACGTGACTTTACCGAAAAAACCTAGGAATATGAATCCTTGCAGTCACGAAAGCTTCAAATCTAGAAGCGTTAATAAGCCCACGAGGCGCTTTTGCAAAGTGTACCCAATGGCGCTTCGAGTGCCCACGTCCGATTGGACCGCGTGCGCGTCCTTAGACACGCCCCCTCTCCCCGCCGCTCGCTATCTCGGCTCGTGATTGGTTGGTTGGTGGGGTGGTTGCACGTGGCTATCAGAGGGGTTTTTTTTTAAACCTCTGGATATCGAGACCCCCTTTTCGTTGATCAGCCGGGAGTCAATCCTCTTTTGTTACCCGAGCGATGGCGACGAAGACGATTGTATCGCCCGTTGCCAGCTTGTGTCAGCATCACCCGGCTTCGTGGTTAATCTCCACAGCAAAGGCCTTCATAAGTCTTAGCCAAATCTTAACGCTCTTGAGATGTATAACCGGCTGATTAATCGCCCCGTCTCTTCTTCTCTAGAAGGTCCATTCAATTTGCCTGTCACTCCGCATGAGCATTGGTCATCAGCCCTTATAACCACGCGTAAATTTGGTATGCAGGGTTATTGCATTCCTTAAAGGTTATTGGACAGATTTTTGGCAAAGCAATCGGTCATATGTTACGAATCTCGAGGACTTTAATTGAGATCTGTAAGGTGTCCTGTGTTGTCTGGAGACATTTTGCAGAATTAGCAGACTTGCATAGGAGGCATACATAATCTACGAATGTTGACGTAGGCATACTACACCACTTGTTTATGGTTATCAATTATAGTGGCTGATTTTTAGGACATTGTGTTAGTACACAAGGAGCCAAGTACAGTAGTCATTTGTCACCAATGACAATTACTTTTAGGAGGGTTTTCAAAACCTTTTGTTTGATATTAAAATTGTACTTTTAAACTTTGAAAGCATTTGCAGAAGTAGGCTATTGCGTGCTGGTGACATTACCCAAAATTTTTTGTTTGAAGAGTGTACAAGCAATACTCTTCATTGTAGTGTAAAATGTATTTCAATGGGAATTTCTTTAAGTAAATTAATTAGGTTAACCGCCTTAACCCAATTGGTAGCCAAACTAAGTATGGCTATGGTTAGGGTTAGCAACTGTTCTGTCCCATTACAACTGCAGTAATCTTCCACTTGGTGTACAATAAAGCGATTTGACCACGTGAAATAACAATGGTGTTCTGTTTTCTTTATCAGGAAGCCAGATCTGACAGTGCCATTGCTCTATGTGGACCTGGGAGTGGCTGTGCTGTGTGCCAGCTTCATGTCATTTGGAGTGAAGCGGCGATGGTTTGCATTGGGGGCTGCGCTGCAGATCGCCTTCAGTGCCTATGCAGCCCACATTAGTGGGCAGGTTCTCTATGGAGAGTGGCTCAAGGTGGGGAAATATGTTAGCATATCACACTCGCCACACATACAGTTGTATATACAAATCACTGTTTCACATTTAAGCATACTGCGCATATGCTATGTACACAACAGTATAGAACTCTTACTTTTCCAAAATGAACTATGTGAGGACCCATTTCACTTTTCTAGATTCGGTTAGAGTTCATTGTAGTGGTGACTGGGTTAGGTTGTTATTTGTTAAAATAATGTATTTTATCATAAAACATTTTAAACATGTAAAACATAAGCCAGCACACTGGCACTCAACTAAATTTATCCTCGTCTTGCTTATGTCAAGATTTTAAAAGTCGACTTTACCACGGTTTTTTTTTGCTGGTAAGAATCCACAGCATTGCCATCTAGTTCCGCGTCTATTCAAACTGTCAAGCATTCCAACTCTCACCGGCAACTGTGATCACGACTAATGTGTTCTGAACTAGATGTGGAGCACCTGTTTATTAATTGGGATTTCCATACAGTGGCTTAAGCCTTGCATCCACGTATGCATTGTGAAATACATTCTCACAATGGGCTCTCACCTAGTTCTGCAAAAAGGAAGTGATTACTGTACTGTATCCCTATAACTATTAAAATCCTTATTTGAATGGATGTGCACTTAATATTGTTGAGGTACCAAACTTGCTTTATGCCATAACCACGCAGATTCGAAGATGAAATTGAAATTTTCAATGGGCAGTCAAGCTTGGAGGAAATTGCTCTGTAAATAATTTTACCCAGATATTTATTTATATTCACAAAATTAATTGCTTATTTTTTGCCTCAATTGGTTGTCAATGGATTTAAATTGATTTAAAGCTCGTGCACAGCCAACACTGTTGATTGGAATGGTGCAAACTTGATTACAATAACTCGTAACTTTTCTCCTAGTCAGCCTCGTGCAGCTTTTCATTAAATTGATGGTGTGTACCAATATAATCCGTGTATAAATATCCATATTTATTATTGCAACATATGTTCATTGCAGTACATATTACCGAGAGAGCCTCGTTCTACATATTTTTTTAAATGTAAACTTGAATTTTAGAAAGTGTATACATTGTGAGTGACTCTTGCATCAGAATAAACACGGCGTGCGTTGAACTTGATGTTTTTAAACGGAAAGGTTGTGTTTGCCTTGTGGATTACAGGTAAGGATGTACTCTCGGACAGTGGCGTCAGTGGGAGGTTTCCTGGTGCTGGCCAGCGGTGCTGGGGAGCCTTACCGCCAAAAGGCCCGAGCCAGGTCTCTTCAGACAATAGGCCAAGTCTTCCTTGGCATCTACCTCATCTGCCAGGTGGGAATCTTGCACATGCGAACATTGACACGACTTGTACCTCAGAAGTACCCGTTCAAAGTTTACACCAATGCTACCAGCTGTGGAGATTTCTTTAAAAAGGTCTGTCCTCTGGGAAAACGTATTTAATGATCACATGCAATTTATCGACCAACCATCAGTTTTAAATATGATTTCATTTAAAGTTGCCACCAGTACTATAATATGTACAGTTCGTCTAATGTCTTATGTAATTTCCAGCTATGTGGTTCATGTTGGCAGACTAGAAACCGATGTAGCTTGTTGTGAAATTGCTCCAAGCTAATGAGTTGCCATGCTCGTGGGAAGACAACCAGTTTGTCAGGTCTGTCATAAGCTTCCTTTTTTTATTTTTGTGATAGCTGATGATAGTGTTTATATGTGCTGGTGCCATTTACTGAACCATTAAACTTAACTTTTTATATCAAACATGATTGCCAAATTACCGTATATATCGATGTACCTACCTTTTGTCAATCTTCTGCTGGGTGAGGGCTTCCCCATGCCATGCAGGTCATTCGATGATATTTCAACCATGCTGGTCAGTATGGGTTGAAGAAGGGGGGAATATAGATGGAGCATAATACAGTATGAAAATGTATTTTTGCTGCAATGGTCAACAAATCGGACAAAAAATTTCTTTAAATGTCAAATGTGCATACTGTGGTGCAGGTGTGCGCGTGTAACCTGATACACTAAACAGCCCTTGAGTCATCATGACATGCTCAGTCATACCTGTGGCTTCGAAACCGCTGTTACTTCCCTTTGCACAGTTGGATACAGTTCAGTACGATGCATTGCAACTCTAAATATTAGCTTGTATAAGCGGTACATATATTAATCTTGCTAATATGAAATTTGGTATGTAGACTTTCACGACCAATATCCATAATGCAGGTTTTTTTTGGGTTAGATCGCGTAAAATATCTAAATGTGTCATTAAACCCGCCACCACCCGACACAGCCAATTAGTAAGGTTTGTCACTTAAACAGAAAATGCAAATTCGTTACTAGTACAGCACACCGGTGTATTGGAGAGCCAATCCACAACATTTATAATCTGAGTACGACGTTTCGCCAATAATTGCAACTAGCTTCAACAGGCGACAGCCAGAATTTGCGCGAATCTAACCCCAAAAAAATCTGTATTATGGATAAAATTTGGCTTTACCAGATGCTCCCAACCAGAGGTTTCTGGATCCCAAGATGGCTGCAATCTTAATTGAGTGGTCTGTAAAGTAAAATTGTTAGCAGGGGTTTGCAGAGGGCCAAGGTGACTGCATTCGGAGCAAGGAATGTAATTTCTGTGTTGGATGTGACTAGTACATTGTTTATCACTGCACTGGATCCACAAGGTTTGCATTGTGAGCTGTGGTTGCCAACTGCTGTTGTGCCATGCCGTGCATTCGTGTAGCATTCACCTCTAATTAATGTTAGATGCGTCAACGAATATGTCACCTTATTTGCAGTACAACCACCGAATAAATAAGTATATTGAACATACAAACATTTTTTCACAGCATGAAGATAAATTAATGGAAATCTACTTATATATATGACAGTTACCTTTGACACTTGCGTTGAGGTTTTATTGAATAAATATAAATAGAGATCTAGCTTTAATCAGGGTGTTAGAGAAGTTACACATTTAAGGTGTCTTTACAGTTTCTACTTGTACATTTGAAAATATTTGACTCTACATTGTGTTATATTGTGTAATGTTTTAAATTAATTAAAAATTGTGTTCTTTTGAAAGTCATATATTCTTTGAAAGTGCATGATTGCACCAAGAAAATATATATAAAACGCTGTTTTCATCTGACTGCAGGGAAGCCATTTCAATGTTCAAACTCTGAAATATATGGCTGGGTTCATTAATTGTTCACAGAATGCCTGAAAGGTAAAGTCTATATAAAGGAGCTTTTGACAGTTAACAGCTAAATTATTCATGGAATTGTACTCTCAGATAATTTCTCTTGTCATGATATATTCTGCATACTCTTGTTGAGTGGAACATTTTCCTCTTTTTCTATAATTAAATGCTCAATCTAAATTGAAATCTGACTGATGGATATTTTTTTCAGAAAAATGGTATTGTTAGACAACCCATTTTTATCATTGCTAAAAAATGGTATGATACCTTAGCCTTGCCCAATTGTCTTGAATTATATTGCTGTCATGAATTAAATTACATTTTTATATAAAGTTACAAATCAAAAATTGTCCTACTTCTATATTGAAAATAAGTTCACGTTTACTTGGCTTCTGCTGAACTCTTTTATCCATGGAAACAATTTGAAATCTGCTTGGGGTAGCTCATAGGTATTAAGTGTATTGTGCATGAGGGGTGTAATGTTGCATCCATTCATAGTGTAATAATTTTGGAGCTCAAGCCACACGCAATTGAATCGTGTGTGCACAAATCATTTGGTCTGCCAGTGGGGTTAAACATATATTTATGCTCAAATTGGACAGGATAGGCAGTAACAAACAGAGAACCTGTATTGAATGTATAAGCCAGTTGTCTGGAGTTTTATGGTAACTTACGAAGGTCTATCATATATGTTGACTGACCAGTGCAAATCTGTCCACAAAATACAGGGCAGGTGCAGAGCTCTGAACGTGTACCCTGGTTACCAGGCAATGCATTGTAGATGAACGTGCATTATTACGAGTAAGCAGGAATGGCACGGTTAAAACTGATGCACTTGTTGTTGTTAGTGGCCCCAAACTGCAATAAACACTTGTTCTTTTGTATCGACACTCTTGTATAGGAACACGTTTCTTGTTAAATATCGCTACGTGTGATCTTTACATGATACATTCATTCCTATTTAAATACACTTGCATAAATTTGCTTGGGGCTCAAGGAAATACTGTAGGAATCAGGGTGTGTGCCAACAAGAGTTTTAATGGATGAAGCTGCTTTACAGTTCAAGATCAGGTTACACAAAGGGGCGTTTCAGCTCTTCGAGATTGCGCTGAGCCAGCTGGACTCCTGCTGACAGTGGCAGGTGTATTTTGCAATCGTTTTCCAGTCGTGTGTTACAGTGGCAAGGTGATGCAGTAAATTAATGGGCAACACTGTGCTCAGACTGTTTATTTGCAGCCTCACAGTCAGATATCATTTGTGCAAACGCCCCTAATTATTTTACATTTTTCAACAAACCCAACAAACTTACTGACCACAATGGCAAACAATTTCGTATCAGTTTGTGTTAAAATATGTACACATATAGCCATGTTGACAGGTACATTTTACTTATGTAACTTTAGTGCAGTGTGGGAGTTGCCCTGTCGCAAATGTTTAGTATTTTATTCATCGTGTTATTTCATTGGAGCACTTGCCAACTATTCCCGCATAGTATTTTTTATCTGAAGTCTGTAATCAGATATGTTGAGTTTTGGTGAAAAAAAACACCGTTGATTGCATATCTGCCTCGTTTCTTTCCACTATAATATGGTTGAGTGCCTCTCAATGCTGTCGCATTCGTGTTAACTATTCTCATTCTCGTCTCAAACGTTATTTCTTAACCTGGCCAATTTATTCCTCTTCTTGTGAAATTATTATCTTCGCACTTGTAGCAGCCACCATTGCCAGTGACCTCACTCAAGTGTACTGCTGGTGGTTGTCACTTGTTCACGAGTTACGATGGTCCGACTTATGATATTTCGACGATCTTACGATGGCGATAGCAATACGACAAAATTGTAAAATATTTTAAATTTCGCGCAACAGGTAAATGCAGCAGCGTACGAGGTACGATACTGTACGTTAGGACGCTGCCAGGATGTACGCATCTCCCGCCTTGTGTGATGCAGATAGGATTGTTTCCTGAAAAAAACTTTCTATTAAATTGCAGTAAATATCGGTAGGCTAAGAATTTTCCTTGTTTTTTAACTTTACATTGTACTGTGCAATACAGTATTGTAATTAATAAATACGTACAGTATATAGTTTATACAGTACGGTACTGTAAATTGCTCTGTTTTGCTATATTATCACCATTCTTTAAGACTCCTGGGTAGGCTAGGCCATCTTCGACTTACGATATTTTTGACTTACGATGGGGTCGTCGTAACGCATCTTCATCGTAAATAGAGGACTACCTGTATTTCCCACGTTTAATTTTGCACGTGCTTAGATGTGTGTTTTAACTAATCTAGTAGTTGCTGTTAAACATTAAATAATTATTGACGTTATTCTTCATTTATAAATACATCATAAGCCGTGCGAATGCAACTGGTCCATAAGTGCACATAACTGTGAATTTAGCTGTTAAAATCGTTTTTGTTTCCCCAACGCATTAGTTACAGTCCAAAATCCACAGTTAATCATTGGCATTATTTGTCTTCTGCTCTATCACTCTCACCCTGCTCACGTGAAATCCGCGTGCTCTCACTCAGGCCTACTCGCTGCAGTACAGCAAGGAGGACCAGGGAGCTTACCTCGCACACATCGCTGGTGGTGAGCTGGTGCTGCAGGCATTCTTTCTCCTCTACGGTGTCCTGGCGCTGGCCTTCTTGTCTGGGAAATACGTGCGCCGTGCTGCCCAGCTACTGGCCATCCTACTTCCCATTCTCACACTGCTCACCGACGGGAACCTGTCCTACTGGCACAGTCTGCGCAAAGTGGAATTCTGGCTGCAGATGCGTCTTGTCGGCCAAAATGTAGCCATCCTAGGTGCCATGTTGCTGCTGGCCACGGATGGATAGGAGACTCCAATCACTCCAGCTGCCTCACTCATGTGCCGTCGTGTAATGACAAATATATAATTTAGTTTTCTTGCTGCACATTTACGCTCGTGGCATTAAGTGTGCTGAAAATACAATAAAAGAGACAATCATTGCAAGCCAAAATGTGTTCATGTTACTGTGTTCAACATTTTTTGTAAAAGGGAGTGTTTTGACCGTTTTGTACACATATGGCCTTTTGTCAATCCACTTCTGTTTGAGTGCTTCCCACCCACACCGTATGGGTCATGGGAGGTTATTTGGCCATGCTTCACCACGCTGGTCAATGTGGGTTGGCAAAGGGCGAGAAGCATAGATGAGGGCGCATACAACTACAGTACAACAATGCATTTTTGGTGCATTCCCCTCCACTGCCCAGAATGTAGTCCCATAATTGACAAGTGGTAGTGGTTGTACAAGCCCAAGCATAAAACTTGCCATCCAAACATAAAACATATATATAGTACACTAATATTGTGGGTAATAGGCTATCAGAGCAGCCCTGAATAAGGTGGCACTTTTGTTTGGATGTAATAGTTGGAATTGATGTTGAGCTTATTGGCCTATACATCTGCCTTCGTGTTCTCATTAACAATTGTGTATATATTTATTTAATTAAAAGTTTTGCTTCACCTGGCAAAAAATGCATGTTCTGGAGCACAGTAATTTCAGAGTTAACCTGCCAGTTTGAATTGTGTTTGGGATTTTTTTTGTTTACTCGTGTTTACAGATATGAAATCCTGGCAATGTTTTTGTTGCAAATTCATATTGAAATGTTTGTTACCCTTTAAGCCATGCTTGTAAATAGGGTTGATAACAAATTTGTATTGGAGATTTTTTTTTCTAAATTCACATTACACAATATGTCTAAATAGAATTATTGCATGCCTGCTATTTTTAATTAAGCTTAGCAGGAAACAATTGATTGTACAAGCACAACAAAAAAGGCTGTTATACATATGCAGTGGGGTGCATGGCAATCCTTGAGAAATGTGTTAATTAAAAATAATTGGTTGTTTAAACTAATTAATACTGCAGAAACCTTCACATTGTGTGTACAAATGAATACAGATCGAAAACGATTACATTTAAGCATGCTGTAGTTAATTGTGTTGAATGAAGTTTGCTTCTTGGAAAGCTTCACATTGTTTCGTCTCCTACTGCCACATATCATTTACACTGTCCCCTACATGTCGAACTGGCAAAGGATTTCCCAGCAACACTTGTGTGAACAACATCACGGTAAAGCGGTAAACTGGCATCATACGCACAGTTCCAGCTATCAGCATTACTCGAGTTACCACCCCTGTATCATGCTATCGTAGTGAGGCTATTTTATGGCCTTGTCTTCCCTTCATTAATGTTCATGCACTGGCATCACATTATTATCTATCCTGGTTGTCAGGCCTGTCCAATCATGAGGTTTTAGTTAAACTGTTTCAAACATGTATCTTGCCATTAATCGTATCACTGTGCTACTGTGGTATTACCTGATTTGACTATAAATGGTATTTGCACACACACACATGCAAGAGATCTAGAACAAAACACTGGAAATTCCTAATTGTGACATGGCCTCTTGGGTTGATGTGGCTATTTTAATTTAATGCAATATGGAATAAAATTGGTTCACATGCTTTACAAAGGTGTAGAATAATGTAGCTTACGTTTTTGTTTCGCATCCTGTTATGGATAAATCCATTATGCGATTCAGATTATGGGAATGCAATGAACATTCTTACCATGTCTTGGCTCCTGCTGTCAGCTATGATGTAGTTTTAAGTGCTACGTAACTTGTTGCATTTAAATGTTTCCTTCACCATTTTTACAGTATGCTCATGACATTTCTACTCGTACATTAAAATTGCCTGTGTTAATATTATTAAGGAAGCGGGTGATGTACATTTGCTCGAAATTGTTGCGCATGAAATATTTAGTGAATAAAGTTTGTCATTTTTAAGAAATGTGAGCTTTATATTTTATCATCTTCCATCATCCATTGTCTATTCACTGCTTAGTGAAGGCCTGCCCATGCTGTCAACATCCCTGGCGGTTTTCTGATGCCACAATCCATCTCCTGCCCATGGATTGATCCCATTGCTCCATCTCTACAGTTGTCATACTATCGAGCATGTTCTCTGTTGACTGCCATTATACTGGTAGGAACCTCCTGGTTACACCAGCCCACAGGGGATTATTGTGTCCGTCGTGCAGGGAGGGGCTGGGTGGGGAGGGAGGGGCTGGGTGGGGAGGGGCTGGGTGGAGAGGGTGGGGCTGGGTGGGAGGGGTGGGGAGGGGCTGGTCACCCCGTGGTGCCCTTATAAAACTAAACGTTTAACCTACTCACGCCGGCTTGTGCCCGCCCTCACAGTCGGGCATATTTGCGGAATACACCACGCCGCCGTTGACCCTGGACATTGACCGAGCAACCCAACGTTTCTACCAGCTCCCACTCTCCTTAGACCAGGGGTCGGCAACCTACGGCTCCGGAGCCGCATGCGGCTCTTTACGGGCTGCTTCTTGACGATATGTACGTATGTACATAGATGCATTGCGGCTCTTGAAATACTGAATTTTGTACCGAATTGGAAAGAAATGGCTCTTCTTGTTATTTTGGTTGCCGACCCCTTCCTTAGACTGTCTCTAATTTGCATACCCTGATCTGGGTGCTACTCTCTCTCTGTTCTCATTTTAAACACGATCTACGTTCAATAAAACACATTTTTGCTATGTTTTAAAGGTTTTTTTCTCCAATGTATTTTGTCAGTAAACATGCAAATTACTTTTTTGCTCATATTTTAGCCTAACTTCCCAGCGTTCTTTGTAAAAATCTTAAATAACTTTGTTATTTATATTAAAATGTCTATCGCAATGTCATCTCCATTTATGTGTATGCCTTTATTGCCGCAACCCATTGTTACGAATATAATGGTGCGTTAGTATCACCTCATAACCACTCCAGTGACATACCACAGTTATTCACATCAACATATCTCTTCTGAATATCTTACAGTTGTCAAATAAGGTCTTTGCAATAGAGTGGTGGCCATGTGTGTAAGGCCATGTTAAATACAAGCTCTGTGCCAGGGTTTGCAAAAGCACAATGTTGCATTTTGTAGATCTTGCACCAAAAGCGTAGGAACGGTTTGGAAGCTGAATGTGTCATAAAATGCAATTGCTCAACAGCCACTACCGCAATGAACTGCAGTCTGCTTATTAAATGTTGCAATAGCATGACCGCACCTAATTTAATCCTTTGTGGGTACGTATATGATTTCTGTGAGACCAAAAAGCCATTGAAAACTTGTTTGTGTTAGATAAATGTGATATTTTCTGCGTGATATGTGTATTTACCTGAGTGATCTAATCCTGAAGGTGTCTTCCTCCACAATATTTTACTTGCACCTTACATCACGTGCAATTGTATAATTTACATAATTAAAAGCCTTCCGTTTTTAAGTGGTAGGGCTTACGTAGCCTTGCACCTCCGATTAGGACGGTTGACTACGCACGGTGCGAAATAAGTTCAACATGCATACATCGCCTTCATATGTGATTTATCAATTTTATAAATGCTGTTCCATATATTTCAGCTGGAATGGGGGGGGGGGCGATGGCTGTTTTGTTTCGGCTTGCTCTTCTGTTTTCGTTCATTCGTGCAGTCATTTTGAGAATGTTCGCCAGAATGCTTAACCGAGATGCGGCTCGCGTTGACGGTGGCATTTGGGGGGAGGAACATGAAACGACGGCACATAGACAACGCCTAGAGGAAGATGCACACGGAAACTGGCATAGCTATTGAAATAAAACATTACTGAATAAATGCATACGTACTGCTGCGTACGTTTTTTTTGCTACTCTCTCGACGTCCTTTTAGGTTCTATCGCGTGTTGTTCGGCATGATGTCTGACGTTGTGCTTCACGTGCTTGAGCTTCGTTAGGAACCGAAGAACACACGGCATAATGCAAAAACACATCAGAGAGCTATTACATAATACATGACACGTGGTTACAACTTTGGAATGGCCATGTTTAAATTACAAAAACTGTACATTGAAGACTCTTCCCATATATTACACTAAGAATATTGTGGCTTGTGCCAACAAGAGGCAACATAAGCTAGAATTCACTACAATTTGTTCAAGTATTTACCAATTCCTGAACTGTTGCTATTCTAACAACGGCAAATACAAAGATCCCCCACATAGCCTTAACATACTGTTAGGGAAAGTGTTGTTCGCTCGTACCTATAAAGGCCAGCACAGCACACAGAGGGGTGAGTGACCAGCACCACCCCCAGCCGCTTTTGTCTCCCCAGTGGGAGACAAAGGTACTCATTTAAGGCTGAGTCGACATAGGGGAGGCCCAGGGCCGGCTCATATAATCGTGATTGGTGTTGGGAGCGGGAACAGAACTCAGGTCGCCAGGTTCGTAACGCAGTGCGCTAACTGTTAGACTACCACTCACAGCTGCTATTCTAACGAACACTGATTCGCAAGCAATTTAGTGTTGTCATGATGTATACTCCCATGTTTCATGTCCAGAAACAATTCTATGAGTCGACAAATTGTGCACCCATTGATCATTGGAAACGTGCAATTATATTCGTAAACAAATGTGACAAACATGCAGATAATTAGCTGTGTAACAAAAAAATTGTTCCTGGGTATAGTAAGTGTTATTTCATAATTGCTTATGCCTCAAAAGTGCAGAAAATGGCTATTATTCCCCACAAACTTTGCTTTTGAGACCAGGATAGTGATATTTTGAAATTTACCTATTTTCAATGAGAAAACGTGGTGTGCATTTGTGTCTTTCGTTCTAATAAAGTCCTGGTCACAAAAGCAAAGTTTGTAGGGAATAATAGCCATTTTCTATACTTTTTAGGCATACGCAATTTAAAAATTACACTTAGTACCCAAGAACAAAAATTGTGTTACATAGTGACTGCTTAGCGATTGTATTTATTTAAATCCGAATACAATTCAAGGCTAAAACGTAAAACAAAATTATGCTTTATAACAACATGTCTCGTCAATTTCTTATTTTCGTGTATCTTCCTTGAGCTTTATCAACATTTATCTGAGCAGGTTTTTAAAAAAGGTTTGGAATAGGGACAGTGTTTCAAATGTGCAGAAAAAAACATTGCATGGCCAGTGCCTTGTGTAATGGTTTCTGAAAAAATAAATGGTCCGCGATAACAATGAACCTTTTGTGACACAGCAAGCACACTGGGCCTGCCCTCAGCGCTTCGTTGTCAATGGCAAAGGCCATGCAAGTGCACGTACAAAGATTTTGTGTTTTGTTTATATATCACAGAATTGGTATATAATGGCGCTGGCAGACATGCATGCTATTTTGTAGCTGCGTCTAAAATTAATTCAACTCGCTACACTTTCGGAATAGGTTCATGCTCCACCTTTAATAAGGCTGTAAAACCTTTTATATTTTGATCATTTGTATGTAATTAGAAGTACTCATTTCATTGTACCTGATTAAAATATTTAATTTAAACAAAACAAATTTCAAGTCGAAAGGCCAGATCAAGATTTTGGCAAAATTGCTACAACGCGTTCCTTTGTGACATTCCACAAGTTGTAATGAAGACATTTACACTTTCTTTTTCAATCCAAACTTTAACATTCCCTAGTAGCACACATTAAAAACTGGGCCCAAAGCATTTCCACGTTCCCATGGGCAAATGACCATGGGAACGTGGGGGGGAGAGGGGAATCCGTGCGCCCAAGGTCGAACGAGAATTGGGTGGTGGGCTTTCTCCCTCGATGGCCTAGAGCCAGCGGTGGATGCAAATTCGCACATGATAAGTCTCCTCATAACAAATCCACTGTCGGCTATTCATCAAGCGGTGATCACTTTGGCACTGATCTATCAGCCCACTGATCTATCAGCCCAATGATGATTGGGCCGAGTAAACATCGGCCAAGATTTAAACTCACAACAGCCGTCCATTCTGCCAACTGAAATCTAACCTATCCTGAGCAGGGAGTTTCCCATCTTTGGCATGTTCACATTTGACGTGTAGAGAAGGGGATTTGTAATGTACAGTAGCCAATGTATCTATTATATTTGTAACAAATTAACTAATAAGCTAATTATGGCTTAGTGGCAATTGAGTAATATTCAAACCCTCATTGCTTAGCTCAAAAAACATGCACTTTGTTAAGTGTCTGCTGATAGTAATTAAACAAAAGTGTTTTGAGTGATTATAAAAGGATTGATTTTTGGGTTAAGGCCACAATGATTTGGCCAAATGTTGTTGTCAAGCCCCTCCACCACCAGACACGGGCACACATTCAATTGTCGCGTTGTATAACGCACCAATGGTTATATTGTTTCAGCTCACCGGTAAGTTTAACAACAATTCTCAACCAAATCTAGCAATTATGTTAGACGTTACATTTGAAACCATGTCTAACATCTCTAGGAGAAGATCGAGCCAGCCATAATACAAATCCGGGAAGTCTGCCTTTCTGAATTGTAAAGGGTTTAGATCTTTGCGTGGGCTAGCCGAAACATCTATAATTATTAATCATAATATTGGCTATGTGTTAAGATACAAATGGATTTTAAACTACTGGAGAAATTATGTGTCCATGGTAACTACGTGATTTAATACTTTGTTGACTACCATGACGATGTCTCTCATGATAGACTTTTGTCACGAAAGTAATGTACTCTAAATCAGGGTACGAATATCTGCGCAGAAGTTTAACCGACTATTTAATGCGAAGTGCTGCACAGCATATTTTTTTTCCTTCAAGCACCAAACATTGTATGTTTGTATTTTAAAAAAATTAGGGTTATATTCACAAGATAAACAAGTGCATCTGAGGCTGTGTCCAACACTGCTGCGCTCTCAGCTATGCAAAGAGCGCCCAGTGTTTTTAATGTTATACAATACATTAGCATTTTCCCAGAGCCGCACAGACGCTTCCCGCTATGCCAGCCGTTGCCACGGCAGCAGTTGCGACCTTGTGTCAAAGTGTGAGCGACGGTAATATGGCACAAAGCCCTGTTCTCATGGTACCTTTAAGAATAAATGCCAACATTTTTATGTCGGCACGTACAACTACATAATCTTAAATCCATACGAGCAGGCCATATGCATTCACCGGCTTAATCAAACGGCGTCTTTTGGCTCCCTAGGGAAGGACTAAGGGCTACCGAAGACACCTGGAACACACT